TTAAAAAAAAAGCTCTATACAGACTACATAAAATGGCATAAGATTGAATGATATGCAAAACATATATCCTGCTACAGGTGCAGCTGAAGAAAGGTATTGGAATCAACAATCAGACAGGAATATTACTTTGAAAGTCTAAAATAACTCGAAATGTTTTTCAGTACTACAGTATAAAGGAGTTGAAGTTAAGTCTCTAAAAACACATAGGACATTAATCATAGAAATTTAAAAAAAGAAATATAGTAGTATATGAGCTAAATGAATAATGTAATATTCATTATAAATGAATAACTGTAAAAGTTCCACCTTTTAAGAATGGAGACACAATTGTACCAACAAAGATCTTAGTCCATGGTGTCCCCGTGACTATACTGGGGCATTAGGACCCACACAGACCACAGTGTGAGCACCCCCTACTGGCCCCAATAACATCATTTCCAACAGCAACCATAGTTTTTCCCAGGAGGTCTCCCATCCAGGTACTGACCAGGCTCACACCTGCTGAGCTTCAGTAGCCATTTGTGAGTTGCAGGGTGATATGGCTGCTGGCTAAATGTGATTACAGTAAATGGGATTGGATTCTGTGTAACAGATATTCAAGTGTTCTGATTTTTTTCCTTGAAGTGCTTCATATTTGTATTGCCCCCCCACGTAGTGAAAGCGAGGTAGAGACCTTTCGAATTACTGCCAGCATACCTGGAAAAAATAAGGCCATTTTCCTTCTGACCTACGAGGAGTTACTGGAAAGACGTCTGGGAAAATATGAACATGTGACCAGTGTGCGGCCTCTGCAACTGGTGAGCAGGCTGGCAGTCGACGTGACGATCCTGGAGCGCTCCGCCATAACGCACCTTGAAGTGCTGCCGCTCAGGAACGCCAACGGGAAAGCTTCTGTATCCATCAGTAAGTATGGCTCTGGGATTTCAATTACGGCCAAACTATAGGCTTGTCAGATGCAGCTGTTCATGTTAAACTGATCTCAGTACTTCTCATTACAAACGATACGGCTGTACTTTCATAAGGCACAGGATTTTAACAACCACAGAAAAGGGTGTGTAAAAATTGTGCATATATTTATGACATATTGTCAATATACAAATAGGACAATAGAAACAGCTGGTAAAATGTATTGTATAGCAATAATTCTAGTTTTACTACTTCATGGCTTATCTGTGTTTTATAGTTTGCAATACGCATTAGGACAAAGTAAAAAGCAATACATTTCCAAATAATCAATTGATCTGTCTAATTTATTATTTATACTGTTATTGAAATTCATTAAAGTAATTGGCAAAGGAATATGTACTAAAATTGCTTAAATAGATACTTTCAAAAGTCGAATGCTTTTAATTTATAATGGGACAAGAAGGGAGCACAGCACAAAGAAATACAGAGAATCTAGATTCACATTTGATTGGAAGAAATTAGTCAACACCACCTGTGCCAATCCTAAGCAGACATTTTTAGGTGATATTTGTTATGTGCACTACTTACCTGAGAAAGGGCACATCACAGGAAGAAGTTTCAGTATCTTCCCTCTGTGTTATTGTAATTTTCTATTATTGTAATTTGCTAGTGTGACTGTTACACATTGTAAGGATTGAACATTCTATATTAAGATGGAAAAGTAGTCTTTAAGGTACTAGTGCAAATGAAAAATATTAAACATGATTTTCAATGTTATTTTCAATGAGCGACAGATATCTTGGGAGTACAGTATGTGAAGAGTTGAACCTTTTTTACTTTGTTTGCGACACATGCCCCGCAGATTAATGAATCATAAATAAATTCCTTGGTTAATCATTAGTTTTGGAGCTACAGGTTAAGTTAATATTGACCTCACATGCTTGAAATGTTGGAGGTAGTTCATACATGATTGCTTGCTTAAATCCTGGTCCATACCATACTCAATTTTAAACTTTCCTTTACATTCAGGTAATCCCTCTCCTCCTATCTCAACTGTTATCAAACAGAATAAAACCTCCTGCAAAATTACCTTCAGCCCAAACATCGCACAGCAAGCCAGAATAGCAACGAACGGAATTCTGGGTGATTTCATTGTCCGATATGATGTGGAGAGAGAGTTGGGAATTGGGGATATCCAGGTAAACTCTCAAAAACCAAATGCTAATGATGCATTTTCATGCAAATGCGTTCTCTGCTTGAACTGTAGAGATTTCAGCGATCTCCATTTGCATTATTAAGCAGTCTTCTAAAAGTGGCTTTTTTGAATTTTAATGTTTTCCTCAAACAAGTGTCAGAATGGAAAAGTGAAGGTTCAGTTATCAGCTAATTCCACTAATTCCAATTGCTGAGCACCATACAGTAGACCTGCTGGTTAAGAACAGCTGTGTTATGACAAATTCCTCCACAACCCTCAAAGATTAAAAACAGCAACAGAGAGAATATATGTCATAACATACTGCTGATATTAGTGAATAAATAAAAGTATTGTCTTTTTTTAGTAACTTCAAGTTTATCTTTCTACTGGAGCCTCCCAAGTGTCTCAAGCAGTAAAGACTTGCTGGAGCTCTGTTTGAACTCATTATCTTGGGTTTGAGTCTGGGTCATGTCGTTGTTTGACTACACTTGGCATTCCTGAAGAACAGCACCCCCAAGGACAGGACAGGATAAGTGAGGATATGGCCAACACTGGCTCCTGAGGCCTCCTGAGTGCTTGTAGGCTTGTACTACTGTCTGTGATAGACATACCTCTCCTCCAATAGGGGCTGAACCTCCTGTACAGAGCCGTGGTGTGTTAAAAGATGATTGGCTCGAAGGTGGGCAGGTCAGGGGAGCCCGCCTGCAATTCTTCATTCTCCTCTTTATTTGGTTGTGGGGTTCATACCTGTGAGAAATGACATGAAAAATAAATGTCTATTCTAGATTGAGGGATATAGAAAAAATCAGTTTTAAACAAAATTGAGTCTAGTGCAGGATGAAGTAGTTCTTTACCTGTGCACACCATGTGCAACACCATATCTCATTTTATCATATCCATGAAGGGGATCTCAAAAATGTGCTTTGAAGAGTCCTTGGACCGAATGGCAGAGACATTGTTATATCACTGTGCACTGTGCACATGTAGCTATGTGTGTGTTGGCAGAGAGTTACTGCAATTGTCTCTTAGGGCCCACCCACCTTTATTTCCAAGATTTTCTACTTACTACAAAAAATGAAGAATGTGACAAGGCTAATGCATATTTGCTGATACATTTCAGATTAAGCAGTGTATTTGTATGTATTGTTTATTATCATTTATTCTGCAATTTCCCTCACGGGATAAATAAAGTATCTATTTATCTTATCCATGTAGTCAATTCATGTTTATTGGGGACTGGCATATGAAAACATCAATAATCCCTTGAAGATGCTAAATGAAGATTTAGAACTAGAAAGCTGGTTTACATTAGTTTCACCTACAGTGGAAGCATATGCAGAACACTTTAAGGAGTGTTATGCACACTCTCCTGCTCCTGCTGTTGTGGAAAAAACACTTCACTGGGATCCTTCCAAAAGCGTCTTGATGAGTTTTTTGTGTATTTAAAAAAAAAACAAATCAGCAGAATGCATTTCAGTTACTCTCATTTCTGTTAAGGTTTACAATCTGTTTCTAACAGTTACATTTTCCTAGGTCTTAAATGGATATTTCGTGCACTACTTTGCGCCAAAAGATCTACCAGTTGTTCCTAAGAATATTGTTTTTGTGATTGATACCAGCGCTTCCATGGTAGGAACTAAAATCAGACAGGTAAGTCCTCTCAGTGATCTGTGATAAAGTTCAATAGGTTTACTTTTCATTGTGATGTATCTTTGTCCTTAGTGATGGTGTTTAAAATAATTGTTATATGTATACATGTCATATATAATTTCAAAACTTGGTGCTGATTGTTTTCTTAAACAACATTATATTCTTTGGGTGGAGGAGCACATATATAACATAAATGGACATGACTTCTTTAGGAACATTATTCTTGCCTGGCAGGAGGGACACAATGAGAATAACTTGATTCTGACCTTTCTTAATATGAGCTGCCTGCTTTTCTTAACATTGCTTTCTCGGGATTAAAAAAAAAATAATCTAACTGCATTCATGAAACAAGAAGCAATGCTTATGTATTCCAGACAGCCTTCAAACAGCAAACCTACTGAAACAGGGATTTCCAATTCTGGTCCAATCCAGTATGTTCTGTAGGTCATCATTAAAGCACAGATTTTCTTCAGTTCTTGAGGACCACAGTTCTATTGCTTGATCAAATTACTTGCTTGATTTACCAGTAGATTGGAGGTGTTGCCCATCTTTATAAACAAGTGTCTTAAAAGAGTAATTGGATTGAGGCTCTCTTGGTCCAGGTTGGAGACCCCCGCACTAGACCAACAAATCACAGGCTGAATACGTTCAATTCTAGTGCCTGAATACTTTTTTCCAACCAGTAATAATGGTGAACTGTTTGCCAGTATAATAAGAGCTTTGCAGTGGTGGGAAACAATAGAGTTAGTTGGCGGTTGAAAATAGGCTCATAGTCCGTGACACGTCCAGTCACAGTGTCTTCTTTCTCCCAACTGTATTTCTTGGAAGATGGAAAGAGGGATTTCTTCTCACAGCGTAATGTTATGAAGTACAGAACAAGAAGGCTTTAATTGTACGACAATGAGGCAGTCAGTGTGCCGCTGTCAAATTCAGATTGTAATCATTTTGTAATGGTGCAGAATCCTTATATTTGTGGACTAAAGCAATTGTTCTCTGTTGTGATCTTCCACTTTGTGTTGTTTGTGGAGATGATATCATATTGCTGAACTTCCTAAGAAAGAAAGAAATCAGTATTTAACTTTATAAAATTCCCCTTTAACCTATCATGAAGTTAAGCACTGATTAAGGATCATTTCAGTCTTCTAGAACTTTTATCTTTTGTTAGCTTTTTAGCAAGGGTTTTTTGTATATACAGTATATACAGTTTACTCCAGAATTATTGGCAAGTATGAAGAAAAAAAGAAATATAAATTAAATAAAGAGTTCATTAAGCACTGAAATATATTTCCAACATAAGGAATTCATTATCCTGAATTAATGATTCAATGGAATCAACCAAGACAAAAAAGAACTATTACATTATAATTTGTTTTCCCCAAAGTAAAAGAAACACAATTATTGGCACCCCTGTTTTTGGTACTTGGTGGAGCCTCCCTTGGCAGGGACAATAGCAGGAAGTCTTTTCCTGTAATGCTTTATCAAGATGTAACAGGATTGTTAACACATTGGGTGGGATCCTAGACCATTCCTCCATGCAGGACCTTTCCAGACCCATGAGGTTTGTAATGTGGGGGATTGTGCTTATGGACAGCCCTCCTCAGCTCAGACCACAGGTTTTCAATAGGTTTCACGTCAGGAGACTGAGATGGCCATGGCAAAACACTGATTTTCTTTTGCTGCCAACCATTTCTTTGTTGATTCTAAAGTGTGTTTTGGATCATTGTCATGCTGAAAGATCCATCTTCATCCAAGACACAGCCTCCTGCAGAGGCAACCAGGTTTTTGTCCAAAATATCCTGGTATTTTTGAGAATCCATGATGCCATCGATCTTGGCCCCAGGATCACTGGCAGCAAAGCAGCCCCAGAGCATCAAAGACCCCCCACCATATTTTACAGTAGGTATGATGCTCTTTTAGTTATAGGCATCCCTCTTCTTACACCAACCACACCTGTAATGACTGTGGCTAAAACGTTCTATTTTGGTTTCATCTGACCACAGCTCCTGCTCCCAGTCAAAGTGCCAATAGCGTTTGGCAAACCCCAGGCACTTCAATGTGTTCCTCTGCAACAGTAGGGGCTTTCTTCTGGCAACCCTTCCAAATAGCTTGTTGGCATGGAGGCGTCGTCTAATGGTTGTTTTTGAGACGGGGTTTCCCCATGATGCAACCAATCTTTCTTTAACTGAAACCTTTGGATTTTTCTTCTTTGCCACCTTCACCATCCTTCTCACTGTGTGTGGGGACAAGATGGGCTTGCGTTCTCTTCCTGGAAAATTAAGCACTGTTCCAATGGCGTTGAATTTTTAAATTATTGCTCTGACAGTCAATATTGGTATTTTTAAGGTTTTACTTATTTTATGTACCCATTATTTGCTTTGTGAAGATCAGCAATGGTTTGCCTCATTTTTGTTGTTAGTTCTTTGACCTTCCCCATGCTGATGGATGATGAAAGGTTTTCTGTGCGTCATTTTTATACTCTAGAGAAACAGAAAGTCAATAAAGTACACACATCCGTTCCTTAAGACACAATTGAACTCAGGCAAGAATAAATATATTATTTTTCCAGATGTGTTTGATTGTATTTTAATGGATCTTGATATAATCAATAATTTTGGCACCTATGTTTTTCAAGTAAAACAGCATTACTTGTTTACAATTGAACCATGAAATGAAAAAATGTTTTAGAAAAAAAGGACAAATATTCCCCTAACATGAGTATTCAATATTTGTCATTATGTGGTTTATTTTATTATGACTTTTTTCTTCATATTTATCAAGGGGTGCCAATAATTCCAGAGTCCACTTTATGTTTTTAATTTCTTAACTGTTTAATTTCATCAAACAGTTAGTTGCTGGTTTTTAGAAATGTTCCCTTAGTCCTGCATGCTAAATTTGTTTCTTTCAAGTTAAGCAATAAAATATTACACTTTCATCTTAACTAATCCAACTGCATTCATGCAAGATGTTTTAATAATTATAATCTAATAAGGTATGTAAATGATGTAATTATCTAACATTTCTAAATGGATAAACTCAAGATTAATTATAGCACACAAGATGAAAATACTTCTTGTTGTATGTATAGTTATTCTTTGATGTTTCTGTTAAGAATCAAAATTGAATTCGTACAATAAGTGTAATGATTCTGCCTTTGTATCCAGCTCTTCAGCATTCCTTTTCTCTTTTGATAAATACTTGGTTGTAGCTCATAAAGGACAAATGGATAATTCTAACAGTAACTATCAGACTTTTCTATCATGTACAGTGTATTTTAGATGTATTGAAAATATAATGCAAGCGTATGCACTCTAATAATCAACAGACCAGATATTTTTTTATTTACTAATCATGTCTGCAGAAAGACTTTACAGCTTATCATCACCAGGTTTTACATTGTCTATAGGCAATAGAGTCACAGCTGCAGGGGACAGACTTACGCACACAGATAAGAGAGAAAACTTTGTACCAGGCACTCTCACACATACGTAGTTTAGACTGAGAAACACAGACAGGACAAGAGTAAGACAGTAGGAAAAGGTCAAAAGCAACAATAAGGCTATTTCAACAAGGCACACTCTTTGAAAGCTCCCAGCTTCAAGGTAACTGGAATTCCCAATTATACCAGAACTTTCCCAGATTGTGGTCACTGTTCCTCTGTCTAGTTCTATTGTAAGTGAAGCTGCATTGTATCGAGATGTTCATGTTTTATAATGAACAGTCATCTTGTTTTTTTAGCCACCTTGTATCCTCATTTGGACGTGTTTTATGGTTATTCTTTCACTAAAGGATGTGTAACACCTCAGGTGTTCTCTCTTGTAGACAAAAGAAGCTCTCCTCACCATCCTTAAAGACCTCCGGCCTCAGGATCACTTTAATTTTGTGGGGTTTTCCAACCGCATTAAAGTCTGGAAGCCAGGAAAACTAGTACCTGTTACACCAGACAATATCCGTGATGCCAAGAAATTCATCTACCTTCTGACCCCCACTGGAGGTAAACATTCTGGTTTCAGTGGTTACTGTAAACATCCTATACTTCCTTAGGCTGCTGGTCTAATGCAATACCAATTGAACTGCAAACCATTCACCTTAATATTCTATATTATCGTATTGCTTTTGATATTGTGCATATCACCACATGTATAAATGTGTTGCATTTTATATTTCAGTGTGTTCAACAAAATGAATACTTTGTCTTTCCAGGCACTGACATAAACGGAGCCATCCAAACAGGATCTTCACTACTGAGTAGTTATTTGGCCAGTGACAACAGTGTTCAGAGCAGGGTGTCCCTCACTGTCTTCTTAACCGATGGGCGGCCCACAGTAGGGGAGATCGAGTCTCCCAGCATTCTGACCAACACAAAGGAGGCAGTGCAGGAGAAGTTCTGCATCTTCACCATAGGCATTGGCAATGACGTAGACTATAGGCTTCTGGAGCGCATGGCCCTGGAAAACTGCGGCATGATGCGCCGCATTCACGAAGAGTCAGATGCTAGCACAATGCTGAAAGGGTTTGTGATTCACACATCTTTTGGGTCTTTGACCTCTACATAACAAGTACATGTAGTGTAAATGTACTGTAACTGAACTGTGAATCTTCAGGGTGTTCAGTTTTGCTGGGTGTTCAACAATCAGCACAGTTCTGACTGAAACTTTAAGCTCCTTTGCTCCTGGGCTCAATATGGATTAGATGAGATGTTTGAGATTTAAATTGCAGATCTAAGGTTCACATTAAGACGTATTTCATTTAGAATGGTTCTAAAGTGGCAACTAATTATATATTGTTATACAAAAATGACAATAGATTTTCCCCATACAGTAATGAAATTACTGTCTTGGATTTATATTGTTTATGTTGCCCAATTTCAAGAAAAAACTCAGAATTCTTAAACCCTCTTCCCCTTGTAGACCAATTGAAGAAAAAGTGGATCTTGTTAATACCCATGTTAACCACTGAGAAGATATGTTTCCAGTATTTCCCAACATTCCAGTGGATCTTGCTTAATCCTGTCTTGGTTTTTTGTTTAGATTTTACGATGAAATCGGCACCCCTCTCCTGTCCAGCATCAAAGTTGGCTACACTGAGGACACCGTGCAGTATGTAACGCAGAACCTCTTCACAAATTACTTCAATGGGTCGGAACTTGTGATAGCAGGCAAGCTTGCTGACCAGAATGCAGACGTATTGCACGTTCAGGTCACTGCCAGCAGCAGTGACAAGAGCATCATGCTAGAGACTGATGTGCCACTGAAAGATAAAGCACAAGAAACTGAAAAAACAATGAAGGAGTTCTTGGAGAGAGTGTCTATGGAGAACGATTACACTGAGAGACTGTGGGGGTACCTGAGTGTGAAGGATTTGCTGAGGTCCCGCATACAAAGCACCAACAGCAAAGAGAAGGAGAATCTTTCACAGAAGGCCACAAACCTGTCCTTAACCTACAACTTCCTCACACCTCTGACCTCACTGGTGATTGAGAAGCCAGATGTTCAAATGGATGGAGTTCCAGAAAGTGCTACAGAGCCATCAGATGCGACATACAGTGAGAAACCACAGAGTCTTATCCGGAACATTGAGCAACCAGGTATAACATTTTGGTGTAATTTAGTTTTAAAATTCCAATTTTTCATTAGTATAAAAATCCATCCTTTGTTACATATGCTGAAGGTGTGCAACCAGGGCCATATGTCAGAGAAATATTATTGTCTCATTTGTGTTTGAGTTCAATTTAAGAAATAAAATATTGGTTCCCTTTTACTTTCCTTGAAATGCCTCTGATATGAATTTATTTTTGCTCTGTTGCAGCTACAAACTCTAGGAAGAAAACAATAACCATTTCCAAAACTTCAGGTAACTTTTTTTTTTACCTGATAACCTGATTGTGTTTTTTGCTACACTTTTATTGTGGAAAGACAGAAAACATCTGTGTTGATTGCATTGAGCCTATTCATTAATCTAAGCTGCAGACTTGGAGGAGAAATGCAACATTCCTTTTAAGCACTGAAAGGCTTGTAATTTTGTTGCCTGTAAATGATAATTATCAACGCTAAAATTGTTTAAACGACACTTTACTCACCTTACTTCCCAAGTAGTAGTTCTTCACATATTTAAATTGATATATTGTACAGTATTGTAGGAAGCTGGAAGTCTAAAAAAACAGACTAACTTGAACAGATCAGCTTCAGTGCAAAATTATACTTAAATGCAACATACAGCATTTGACATATTTTTGGAAGTACTGTGGTTTAGAAGATTTAGAAGCGGAATTATAAATCACCTGTTTTTTTATATAATATTGTAAATAATCAGCAATATTAGTTGAGAGCCATAATCATATTTGCATTACCCAAATGATCAATGTACTGTACGTTATAGAAGTGTTGACTAAAACCCCTGAATTCAAGTTTCTGTACAGACATCTTTGTTTACTATCCACATGTTAAGCTGATTCAATGCTCTGTTTTGTAAGACACTTTAGTAAAGTAAATGGCACTGATGAGGTGCGGTTATGTTGCTTTTTACTGTATATTGCACTTTGCTTTCAATTTACAAGTCCATTGTTCTTGCTTTCCAGCTGATGGAGATCCACATTTTGTCATTGATTTTCCTCTGAGCAAGATAGCAGTTTGTTTTAACATCAATGGAGAACCAGGAGATGTTCTGAGATTGGTATCCGACCATAGCAAATCTGGTAAGAAAACCTCTTTTTGAACAAAATGCTTGCTGATATGAAAAGGTGCAAACAGGATCCAAGAAGGATTTAAAAAAAATGCCTAGCAACATTTGCTTTTGTTACAGTGTACACAGTTTTTGTCATTATATTTCTGTACTCTTTTCATTCGGTAATGTGTCAGAAATTGAATTACGTGCACATTTTCTACCACGGAAACTGTGGCTGTTTTAACGTTTAACGTTGGTCACCCTTACATTTATGTAATTGCATGTGTTAAGACAGTAATTACTAGCAAAAATATTTTGGAAATTCATTACTTTTAAAACTGTTTTTTTATCCCTGTATAGGTGTTACTGTGAATGGAAAGTTAATTGGTGCTCCAGCACCACTTAATAGCCACAAGAAACAGCGGACCTATTTCAGCACAATTACCATCATGGTTGACAAGCCCAGGCGCTCATACATTGAGATTACTCCACGGAAAGTCATACTGGACAGCAAGGACAGGATGATCTTGCCCTGCGATAAAACCATAATGGTGGACAGTGATGGGCTGGCTGTATCCATAGTGGAAAAGTCCAACATTACTGTGACAATACAGGACCAAATCAGCTTTGTCATCTTGGTCCATCAGTACAAGAATCCAGCTCCATACCAAAAAGACCACCTGGGCTTCTACATCTCAAACAGCAAAGGATTGTCCAGTGACTCGCATGGCTTGTTAGGTATGCTACAATAATGTTACATCACTCCCTTGATCTGCTTGAATTCAGAATCTTAGTTTTGGGCTTAATAATAATTAAGTCTATAATCACATTTGGTAGTTTTTTAATACTGAAATCAAAGCTCACTGGGCTTGGCATTGATAAATGCTGTATGCCATATGCATCGCTGAGAAATTAAGCTCTCCCAACAACATTTTATAGCAAAAATCATTATGTCCTAAGGCACTTCTGAGTTCTAAAAAACATTATATAAAACAAAGAGCTATTGACACTTGACTGTGATTGTTTAGTTTTTTTTATATAGATTTTAGACTCCAGGCTAGAGTTTCTAAAGACAGATTGCTTGGTGAATACAATGACCAGCTGTCTTTAAGTACCAGTAATAAAACTGCTGCATTTGTGTAGGAAATTTTGTAGGTCATCATGGAAACATCAGCAAAGAAAAGGAATAATTTGGGACGGTCAACTCACACCACTTATGCTAATGCATCATATGGCAAAAAGGATGGGATATATATAGTTCCCTCAAGAAGTATTGGCAAAGTAAAGCAACAAACATTTTTAACTTTACAGACAAAGCTATTTTTTCTTTATGAAATGTAACGTTTTGGAGGTTACTTTTGTGTATATTGGAATAAGCCAGTCTTTAGAAGAGGCCATGAATGCTCAGGCCAGATTCAGAGAGATTCAGAGCTTCAGAGATGAGGTGGTGTCTCAGTACTTTTATTATTATATTATTATTAACATCTCTTTCAATAACTGTTTATCCAATTTAGGCTTTGAGCCACCATGACCCCATCCCAAGAAGCACTGGGTCCACGGCAGGACACACCCTGGATGGCACTGCAGCGCACACACAGACACAAATGCACGCACTCACACCATAGTTATAGTTAGTGAATACGCAAGGCGTCTATGATGAAAGGTCTGAGACTGGAGGAGAAGCAGAGTTATACGATGGAGAGTTTTTTTTAATCAAAAAATATTTCCATCATATGACAGGGCCAGTTTTACAGAAGCCATTTGGCTTTGGACTGTGGGAGGAAACTGGAGCACCCATTGGAAACCCAAGCAAAAAGAGCATATTTAAACTCTACATGGAGAGTACCCCAGGAATTGAACACAGGGCCCAGGAGTGCAAGACAGAAATACTGATCACAATCTTTTCCTTTTGTTATATTTAGGGATGTAATAGAAACTATCACTGAAATGTCTACTTGTTGGGAATTTCTACTTGTTGTTCCAACCCTTTTGTTTTATCTTTCAGGCCAGTTTCTCTATCAGGATGTGAGACTAACCGAAATGCCATTGAATGGCACAGCATTTAAAAGTCTGCAGAATGAGACCCAGGCAGAGAGTGAGCCACTGGCTTCAAGCACTGCTTTGAAGATAAAAGGCAGGCTGATACCAGCAGTGAAGAAGCAGCGGAAGATCTACAGTGGAAAACATAAGGTGGACTGCTGGTTTGTCAAGAACAACGCAGCTAAACTGATTGATGGGGTGTATGAGGATTACCTTGTATCTCATCTCTTTGACACAGGGCTAGGACACGATTTGTCAAATGGACTGTGATTACTTGCCATGTGGCAGCATCAGATAACTACAAAGCTTGCTCTTGGTCTCAGGAACTCCTATGACCTTCTGCAGGTAAATTCAATTTGCATTGTCCTGATGAATGCAGTATTTAAGCCACTGGTGACAATCAAGAAACTCATTGGGCACCTTTGGGAAAGTTTTATTTTAACATAAAGGTATAAAAGATATAAAAAGCTAAGCTTTAATAGAAGCAAACAAACCACATTACACATCACTTCACATCATGTTAAAATATTCTCCTTAGGTGTAAAAAGGATCATATGCATAGATATGTTTCCCTTTGAGACTCAAGATTTAAGAAGAGTCTTATTTCCATCTATCAACATTTGTAATCTTTCTTGAATACACTGGTGATCTGAACTGAACTACAAAACTTTGGATCACTAGCTCAAGCTCATTTATAAATGCCTTTTCCCTGCAGCATCTGTGCAAAAGATAAGCTTGTCCACTCACCTGAAATTAATCATACTGTGTGTGTGAACAAACATTCTGTCCAAGTAATTCACCATTATAATACACCATTATGATAGGTCTGTGAGTGAGTATACAGTATTCTTGACAAGACACAAGCGAAGCTTCTTATGAAATTCCAGGTAAATATATGAATCTATGTTTCTAATGTCTACACAAGACTTGTTTTAAATTTGTGGAGGAGACATACAGCTTGGACAAAGATCCTTTCACACTGCACCTAGTCATTCACATCTTGACACATACTGTAGGTATGGGTTAAATCAAAACTCCAAACCCAGTAAGTACAGTACTAACAGCTTTTTTTGTCAGAGGTAAAACTTGGAATCATGTACTGTGGTATTAATTTGTGATTAACAGGCAGTTCAACATTTTTGTTTAATCTGTATCCTCACTAGGAGGACAAACTGTAAGCACCGAGACCTTTTCTTTTGTGGAATGTTGCACCAAGATTTTCCCTGTTTAAATACAATATTAGCCATTAGCTTCTGTTTTGAGTTTGCGACCAGTTTGTTGGTCAGTCGATTAACTCAAATGTACCTTTGACATCTTAACATCTTCAAATCCTTCTTCGCAACATCCAAACACCCTGCACATGAACATGTCAGGGATGCTCTCAAGTTATAATACATATTATTTCAACAGAGATCCATTACAGTATTATTAGGGTAACAAAGGTAGTGGTCAGAGGGCTACATAAATACATTCCAACTTGGGTAAAGACATTGTCAAATGGAAAAAAAACTTAATTGTGTGATGTAGTGTAATGATTTTCAGTAACATTTTAAAATGAATAGTGTACAATCACTGTAATACTAATAAAACCTTAAAAACAGCACAAGTCTTATCATAAAACATCTTTATTAGAACGCACAGAAAGTGATTAACACAGCTTCAGTTTTTTGGAATATTTAGAAAAATGGTACTGAACCTGAAAGTACAATATATCATTAGAAAACTCATGTAATCTCTTCTTCATACAGTACATTGCACCCTTAAACATATTAGAACACCAAGATCCAAACTTAGTTTTGCTTTTCAGTCAATTTGTATTTGTGATCATAAAATGAGTGATACAGTATAATACAGTATGTGCTTCACAGAGAAGGAAGGATTCTTTGGAGCTTTTGCAGTTACCTTCTCCATTCTTTAAACCTTTACCAAAGATCTTGACCTGGGAATGCATGGTCATCTCTGGAAATGGGTTACTTATCTTAATTAATGATCTACTGTAACTAGTGGTGGCAGTAGCAAAATGAGTTGTGAAGTTTACAGAAACATTTTGTCTGCCTACTGTAAGTAGAAGAAAACGCTGCCATATTTATTTTGGGGTGCTTGACTCTGCAGCGTGACAATGACCCAAAAGATACAGAAATAAAAGAGATCAGCAAGAGGAAATAAAAAGTGGAAACTTTTTGTTTGACTGTAAAGGAAAAATATTTTTTGGATTTGTTGTCCTAATACTTACAGGTTGTTGTAAATAAAGCAACAACCTTCATTTAATAAATTAAGTAAAACTTGCAACCTTGATACTAATTTTGTAATTCAAAATAGATAAAAACTACAAAATATAAAAAGCTTTAAAAAGATTTCAAAATACTCGAATAACTCCATTTGTAGCACCAGCTGGCATACCTGATTTAAACATCATGTGCAGCAATGCCTGTTAAAGCAGTCCTGTAACACTGCAGTCTACACTGCTAATGTTTGTAGTCCTACTGCTTTGATCTGTAGAAATATTAACCCAAGGGTCACAGAATGTATAATATATATTATTATACATTAGCTAGGGCAGAAATTAATGCAGAACCACTTGAGCCCCATTTACAAAGACCTTTAGAAAAATCATAAAACATTGGTATTTTGTTGAAAGTGAACCTAAACGACATTAGAGCTGCAGAACAGCAGTGTTTAGCACTAAGCAAATCATTAAATATTCCTATTTGGCACCAGTTTCTGAAATGTACCATAAATGTTTAATAAAACTTACAGCTACTGTGACTTCTTTACTTTATTGGTTTGGGGTGATTTATTGGTTATTTTTTAATTTCAGCTATATTTTGCCTGTGCTATATTTGCTATATAACCACACTTTATTTCAACGGATCTTATCTGATGTGGATAGAAAAGAAACTATAGTCAGGGCTGCACTAGAAAGATAATTTAATTCTGAAACAGTATTTTTGCAGTATGTATGTCACTGTATGAAGTCAGTAGGTCAAAAATATACATGTACGAACATACACAATTCATACATTCACAACTTAGCACAGTGACACAAAAATGAACAAATACAAAACCCTTAGATTTGATAGTAACTCAAAACCGTAAAAATACTCAGTTTTGTGAAGTAGAAATGTACATTTTGTCAAATGCAGCAATAAGACAGTAACTTTGTATATATTTTATAACCCAAGAAACCCTGCAAATTTTTAAGTTTCTTATCTTATGTGAACAGTTTTATGTTTATCTTCCATTAGTTGAACTATCATTCACCAATCCCATTCTTGCGAGCTGCAGCAAACTCTCAAAGGATAACAGGGGCAGCTACTGGTCTTGGCATGCTGGACACTTTGCCTTTTCTATCTGCCTCCAATCACATTTGAGGGCCTCTCCGTTAAGCTTGCTTTTCCAATAGATCGTTGTCATTTTCATTAGTCAACAGCACCTGCAGCGAAGCACAAGAGACAACTTGCAGTTTCAGCGTGTATTAAATTCTTTAATTATATGTGTATGCACACATTTACTGTATAAAAAATGCGGGTTAGTCTTATTTTTTTCAGTGGACTTGTCAGTGTGCACTCATTCCACAATGTGCGTACATTTTTAATATGTTGAATTTGTGGGACTTGGAACAAAATCATTTTCTATACGTTTTCAACCTAAGGGTAAATGGAACTTTGATGCTAGATTTACAGAGACACTTTTCACTGTAGTACCTGAGGGTTCAAAAATCAAAGCAGGTCTGTTTTCAAGGTATAACACACAATCCCTCCAAAAACAATACAACTATTTAACAAAATTCTGAGTATGTTTTGAGGCATAAAAATGTTTTTTTTTTTTTTTAAAGGGATTTATATCTGCTGGTTACCTTAAAAGAAAGGAACATTCATTTGTGTACAATATACACCGCAACATGTTCTGGAATTGAAAAGTATGATATTTTTTCTCCTGCAATAAGAAAAATTAAAACAGCTGGATGATCAAGAGAACTTGAGACAGTGTTTTAAACCATATGTTTTTTCTTTTTTTTGTTTTTTTTTAGGTAGTTTATATAGTTTGTTTAAATTTTTTCTTAGTTTTTGTTAATCCAATTAAAACCTTTAAACAATGTAGGATAAAAGGTTGTACACATCTCAGGGAAATACATAGTGTATACAGGGCAGCATTGTTATTACACCTTCTAGACAGTAAGAATGCGTTCACAAAAAATACATTCACCAACAGGATAAAATCATAATTTTAATCAATTGCATTCAATTACTCACTGGTTAATATCAGTGTATCCAATCCATCCTTTCAATTTCCTACAACCATAGTAGAAAACTGCCCCTTTAAGGACAATGGTGCCTTTGTCATGATCTATTTCTAAGATATAATTGTATCCCCAAAATTGAAATTCGCAAATGAAATTAGGAAATATTTGTCTCTTAATATTGCCTTCCTTAAGTGGAAAAGACTACATTTAAAGGTTAACAGCAACACTCAAAATGTACCACTGTGGTAACATGCAGGGGGCTTCCAAGTTGCTTAACCAGGTAAGGCGGAAACTCATAGCGCAGGCAAAGCCCCATAAATAAAGACAAGTTTGTATGAACCTGAGCAATGCCATTCAGTGGAATTGCGTAAATGGCACTACACAACCAACGGAAGCACTGCTGAGGTTGCCTGGGCATTAGCTGGCCAGGATTTGCTCAGCTTTAGCACACTTCAGCTTTAGCACATACGTCTCTTGAGACACGCCGGGTACCTGCCAACCGGCAATGACATCACTGATCGACCACTCCTGCAGTCAAAATGCATTGTGGTAAACTGGCACCATGGAGGTTGCAGCAGGAAACAAATGGCTTTGTCAAGAGGCCATGTGGGTACAGTAAGAGGCATGTTAGAGATGTTTATCAACAGAGCCCTAATTCCAACCTTGAGGTACAAGGGTTGTGTCTGAAAATCCTAGTTCATGAACAATTGGCAATTACAAACTGTGTGAGTACATAATACTACATAACTGGCAATTCCATGTTTTAGTAAATCGAATAAGTAAAATTAAATCATTGTGTTATTGTTTTGCAGAGAACTTGACAAACCTTGGCTTTTTGTTTGACTATCTTTTTAAGAGTGACTTAAACTAAAGTTCAAATTTGATTTTGCAATGACAGCACTAAGGGCTGGTAAAAGCTTCCAGATTACTGCCTTTGAGATTGAGTATTGAGCAACAAAAATGCTGTTGTTTTTTTATAGTTAATTTAATCAGGAAAGGTCGGTTTTGGTTTACCTTTCATGTTGGTATAAACCTTTTCTCACATCGGCTCTGAAAATCTCCTGCTTCACTGTTCTTTCAGAGATTATCTACTGTGCATCACAAATAATATTACTCTACAAAGCTTTATGCTTGGCCAAAACGTTCTCTCATGAGTTTGAAAACTTTTGGACAGCATTTGAATCATTGCTATTACAACATGCCTTTGGAAATGACCTCAACTGAAATGAATGCATATCCAACTCCTTCCTCAGAAACGTCACTCCATGGAAATATGATTTAAATGTCACTTTTATTCTTCTCAAATCCTTATTGAATGGGATGATTTGTTGCTCCTTGGCAAATTCCCAGTGTGGAGGAGGAAAAGAATACAACTTTGGAACCAAAAGAATGAACCCACTATTTATTCCACTCACTTTTGAGTGCCGTCAAGATTGCCACAAGTATAAGCTTCTAACCATTAAGGTTCAAACTGTGAGCAAAAGCAATAACACATTGGAACAGTAAGGAAGCCTTTAGCTTTAGTCTTTTCATCTTTAAACCTGGTCTTAAATGATTATTCAATTTAGTTTTCAAAAATACTAAAGTTGTAATTCTTGTTAACGTATATCTATATTAATGTACAGATCAATCTTGAATAATAAAATTCTTTGTCCTTATGGTATGGAATGTGTGAACGTTTGTCATCTGCAATTGTTACACTATAATTAACATTTACTGTAGCAGCAATAAAAATGTTAGTGTGCAAAAACAACTTAACATCCAGCTTTGTCGAATTGCTTGGTCAGGTCATCCATAATCACTTTATAAACAGTATTTTTTCTTACTGCTCTTGAAAACTTTAATTTACAGTTAAGCACCTAGAGTTTGTATCTTATCTAATGATAAATACTAATAGTGAAATGAGTGGAAGTATTACTGCTTCTTGGCTTAATTTTGTTTTATTCTTTGTATAGCACCCAGTATGTGAAAATTGTGTGCTATACTACTATGAAACTACTAGGGATTGGAAATTTAGCAGGCACTGTTTAGACCAGAATCAGTTGATGTTTTTAGCTTGTTAAAATATATTAACAGGTTATTCCCATATGATTTACTTGAAAATGCACAGCACACCCCTGCAATATAGCAATATTCCTGGGACATAGAGGATTTTTAGGTTTTAGTCCAACTAGCCTCTTAATGAGGTAACTCACATGAGTATTTACTTCACTACACCTGTGTAACCCTTTACCCGCCTTGTCTAAAGCAGGTAATTGTAAAGAAACATAAAACCTGCTGGGCCTGATGAATTGGTATGCTGAAAAAAATGCACTAGTCATATTGTTTTGCACATCTATGTACAGTATGCCAGTCTTAGACACATTTATCTAGTTATGTGTACGCTCCAAAGCAACTACAACAAACAATGGTCAGTACAATTTAAGCTAGTCAGAGGCAAAAACTTTCCATGACGGGGATAGACAGGGATTTCTAAAACTTCAAACAATGGCATTAAATAACTAAGGTTCACATGGCCTGGTTCCCTTAGGGCTGTGTTCCAAGGGAAATGCACCATAAAATAGTGGAGAAAAAGCAACTGTCTGACTCACTTTTTCTTGGAGTCAACTGCAACCATCTGTTTGTGATGGGCCAGGGTGTCCTTCAAAAATTAAGACTGAAGGCTGTGGGTCACAGGTTTGGCATGGCTGCTTCCTGAGCTGGCCCACTAAGGCCTTCCACTGGTGGCGTGCTTTATGTAATCCAAGAAAAACACAACAGGTGCGATATGAATGATGAAGTAAGTATGGCCAAAGAACAACTCACTACTGGAATTGTTCGCATTAAAGTACACTGGCAGAAACTCATTTTTTAGAGACAGGAACTGCAGTGTTTAGAAGCTGCACAGGAATTTTAAACTTTGTATTTTGTTCCCACCATGTGCATATTCTTTAGTAGATTTCAATAAGAAAACGTCACCAAATATTAATTGTGCAGTTCTGTAGCTTAGTTATATGAAGCACACTGAAAAGATGGAAAACACATATCATTAAACAATGATGTTGTTTTTAATCCAGTTTCATTATAACTCAGTAATGCACTCGTGTGACATAAAAATGAATAATGAGTACTTTTTTAACATTAATAATGAAATGTATACTGTTTTACCTTTTAGAAAGTACAAAGGTGATTTACAAATGAATAATAAGAATATAAGTACTATTAATTGAAAATTTAATTTTGTACACAGTTTTAATTTTTAAAAACTCTCACTTTTGTTCCTGATAGGTGGTCATTAGTGGTGTGCAGACTTAATGTCTTAATGTCTTTTATTTATGCCGCAAGTGTACGTAATTGCTAAGATAACAGTTTAATTATTTTGGGTATCTTCATTGCAGCCGCAGTTAAAATGTTTATTAACATTGTTACCTTTTGTGATATCAATTTACTCCTTTATATATTAAAAAAAACTTGACATACCAAAATTATCTTGGACTATGACCCATTACGATGACCATGCTCTTAAGTAATACACGTGTACAGTTTTGCGCAGCATGTCCACATTCAAACAAATACCTTTCATTTGGTTCAGGACAGGTTAATGATTCCAAAAACTGGTTAAGATCTAAGGATGGCACCTTTGTGCTTCTCCAGCAGAGTTTACTTTCAGAGATATGAAGCCTTCTGTACCTCACCGATGAGCCTACACTGCACGTTCATAACGTCTGCTGTATCTTTGACGTTTACAACAAATAAAGAACCCGTCTATGGCAATTCAATTTTTTTGGAATGAAAACACCAAGCTGTGACAGAAAACAACCTGAACGCCTGGAAAGGAGATAGAATTCTCAGAGGTTTCCTGTTGTCCTGTTCTTTGTCTTCACCCCTTCAAAAAGTAAAAATGTTTATGTACAGTACTAACACATGGATTCAAGGACTCCATCATCCGAAAGGCATCACAATCTAAAAGCACTGTGAGAAACTGTGGGTGCAGTTGTTAGCATTCCTGCCTTGCAGGGATGGGTTCAGTGCCTGGTGTACTATCTGCATGGAGTTTCCATATGTAGGTGTGCTCCGGTTTTCCCCCACAACATATTTGTTTTAAAGCTTAGAATTTTTTTATTTAATAAAACTTTGGTATTAATAAATACATTCTGGTTGCAAAAAACCCCCATTCACATTCACTGAACTTTCCCCAAAAACAAAGTACCAAGGTATTTATATCACTGTCCCAGATGGAATGCAGATCAAGTATTCCAATTGCCTTCCTTCCTCCCAATACATATGCCCCAAAACAATGGTAGGTTAACTGGTTTCTTATGCTGTGACTGTGCGTGTGAACCCCCTGGAAAGGCTGGCATCCGATCAAAGGTGTATCCTGCCTAGTGCCTGTTGCTTGCTGAGATAAAAACCCAGTATTGGAAAACCTGTATCGGATAAAGAGGTTAGAAAATGGATGGATGGAAAGTGACTTCAATGTGACCAGAAAACACAATGTGTGATTGGATACTGAAGTGTGTAGAAGCCAGTGAGAGCAAAGCCTAATCCCAAAGAGCTGTTTTTCCTCTGAAGCATTACCTGTGACTCCTCATCGACTGCTCTTGCTGGGGCCTCGTCTGATTTGTTGCTCTGGGGGCTCTCCGTTGGCTTCTGGTTCTTGTATTTCCTCATCATCAAGCTATCAACAACCCAGAACATTATTGCCTAAAAAGAACATTGAAAATGAATTTCAAACAGTTTGTTTGCATTCACCAAAAAAATTCATTTCATTCATTTTTTTGCAAGACCATATTCTGTTATATTCCAAGATTTTAGAAGTCAATCATTACATCTCTTAATGATACAGTATCTATCACTGAAACAACCATTTCTAAAATGTTGACCATTATGTTGACTATGTCTTATATTGATTAGTGCCCATTTGTCTTTGAAAGTGACTCCCCCCACCCTCCATAGTGCAATTAAAACCGCTTTATAGAGGGGTTGATGAGGTGTTTGCACAGATGAGGGTTTACCTAACTAGATAACAACCCTAATGGATTGGAAAACCAGAGGCTAAACACCTTATAAGGCTGAAATCCCCCTGGAAACCCACATCACCCAAGCTGTCTTTAAAAAGAAAGATGGAAGGAACTGCAGGAAGACAAAGAATATACTGTAGCAGGAAAGGAGGAAACAAATTACATCTGAACACCATTTTCAATGCTGAGGTCTTCCTTGATGCACCAAAACCTCCAATATATTTGGGACTGGAGCAGCACAGCTGAAGCTGGATTTTTCCTAACTATAAAACCGTCTAACTTTACTTTTTTAAATTGTCTGGCAGAATTAGTTACTTGCTTCTTTGGATGCAGTGCAGAAGGTTGTCTCCTTTCAGCGTCAGTTTAGAGAGCATACTCACCTGTGGAGAACTGTTTCATTTGTAATTTAAAGAAGTCTTAGTTATCCTTATTAAGATTGATGGTCATTACTGAGATCGTCAGGTTGGATGTATGGTGATGGGTCCCAAGGTCCGTTTAATTTTAAATCTTAAACTTTTGACAGACAAATATTATGAGTAATATGTAAGCACACTCTGGATTCTCTTCATATTGTATAAGTGTTGTCTATGTATATGAAATAATCTTTTACAGTTCAGCTACTGTCTGTTTAATTTTCTGTGTAGTCATGATGTTATCTGACATTCCCTGGACAGTGTGGGGGTGTTTTATTATTTAACTTTTATAAATTGCTTATATTTCAACTATTTCCAGGACTAATATATTTTTTTTACTTAACTCTTCAACATCTTTAACAACTATTTTCACTAGCATCCACACTTTCTAATAAAATATAACTTAAACACAAATAGTGTTCCCCAATCAGAGTGCCTGCAGTAACTGAAGAGTTATGCATTTTTCAGTTCAAACAGCTTCATTTTACTTTCCATTGTGAATTAGCTTTGCATTTTAAGTTTGTATTTACTCTTTCATGTGCAGGGTGTTGTAGTTAGCTTACCGTATCATGTACAGCAAGAGTAAAACACTTCTACTGTATATCAGCGATTAAAAGTAAATTAAAAATTGAATGAGGATTTTCCGAACTCCAGATCAAAAATCATTACTGAGCTCAGTGAAAAAAAGTAGATGACATATTATGACCATACTAAACTGTGCTTGAATCTAGAAATTTGGGGAGTACAGAACCAGAAAACTAAAAGGAGAAATACAATGCAATGGTAATAAAAGAAAAACAAGATGGTTAAATTAGCATCATAATTTCCTGCAACCTATATAACACCCTGATCTGTATTCTCCCAACAGCAAATGAAAACAAGAAAAAAAGTAGTAAAACGAACATGCAGAGATGACACACAGGGGTTATGGAAAACGATGTGATATCTCAAGGTTCCCTTTCGGGGGCCCAGTTAACTGATACTCTCAAGCTCAGGGAGACAATACATTCCAGAGAGCTGGAGCAGAGTCCTTACTCACGTTAACAACGAAAGGCACAATCAGAATGACCAGCACCAGCTCCAGCTGTGGGTTCGGGATATAGTCCAACAAAACGTCTTGAAGCTGAAATGCAAAATTCCCAGCAGTTGGCTTCAGTGCCAGTAATACAGACTTCTGGACACATAGGTTTCACATCTGCCCCCAAGGGTTTATTACAGGCCAAGAAGCTTGTAATTTAGGCTTATGCTAAGATTAGAGAGAATTTCCACTGCACTTACAAGGCTTCTATTCAATTTCCTTTGGAGAGGAAAATAAGTGTTTTAGAGGTGAGAGAAAGAATATCTTCAGATAAATTGCTCAACAGAGTAAACATTTGTTCTGATTTTGTTTGGAGTATAACCAAACATATTTTCATATCCTTAGATTTGGACATGTGCTGAGGAAAAAAAAAACATCAAATATTTACATTTGGAGACTAAACAGACTTTTAAAGATCAAGGTTGGGTCTCTGAAAAGTGAAAAGGAATATATTGTAACTTAGCTTATTGTCATTTGCTTGTAATGTAAAAAAATAAAGATTTCAACTTTCTGAAGTAGATTATTTACCCTAACCTCACAGTGTTGGTAACATAATCCACACTTTTTCCAAATGTAACAAAAATTAATCAACCCACCATGCGACTAAAACATAGTTTATACCAAATTCTCTTAATTTTATTACTAAATAGGATTTTAATACTACTACTACTACTAATACTAATAATAATAATAAAACAATTAGTTTAAATTTCTTTCTAACACAGCCAGTATGAAAACAAAAATTTTTGTAGAACTGAGTTAAGTTTTCCCACCTGATTTTTAGATTTGGATAACAGGAGACTTAGAAAATAAAAAAGTTAGGGTTAGGGTTAGTGTTTGATTTTTTTTTTACTGCCACGGCTAATAAATGCCATCTGAAAAACCTCAGCAAACTATCTTTAAACTTCCTCCATTCTGTTGCTCTCTTGTTATCATGGTAGTTTTTGTATAATTGAACTCCAAATAAAAAAAGAAGCATTTATGGTGTAATACAGTCATTATCAACTGCATATTTGATGCAGATTGTTTTTTTTATACCCACACCATTTTAAAAGTGTGCATACTGTTAAAAGAAGCAGATGAAAGATTTGTATCTTGGAGTTCCATGTATCTGTCAGCAGTGATGGATTCAGAAAAAGTAGAAATCTGCATGGATTTTGTTGATTTTCATGTATACCTGCCTTGCTTCGAATCATTATAACTTCTCATTAGAAATGTGGCAACCATTAGTTTTACCCAAGGCATAGTCTCTGCAACTGCTAAATATGTAGTATGTTGACATGGAATGTCCTCATATTTTTTCCCTTTAAAAAAGTGCTTGTAAATCATCAAATAAGAAACAAGCAACGGTGCATTAAGGAAATAAAATTAAGTACGGTCTTCACTCACTTTGGTCCAGCCAGGAATAAGCAGAACAAGACTTATCACGGTTTTCTCAAAAACCATGATAAGCATGTATACCCCACACTGTCCTATCCATGCAGACACTTGAGGGGGGTCTCCTGTCCAGGGAACAAAACCGACAGAAGAATGAAGCAACAGATTCATGAAGAACATGTACCTGGATATATGGATATATATGAACATATACCATGGATATGAATTGTAAAAATTACAAAACAAAATTGAATTAGTATTAAGGAAATCAATCTGGGAATATTTATTCTGTGATGTAATACTGTATTTTTGTACTAACTGCATGACTATTTATAAAAGTGTTATTTATACATTTAATAAGCTAATGACAGTCTATTACATTAACAACACGTTGCTTTGACCCTTAAGACATTTTTTTTCATGACCATTTATATTAGATTTGGCTGAATGTATGATGTCTCTAAAGCGCTTATGATATTTGGCTATACGAAAAGTAGTCGAAATTGCATTATTTCAGCACAGGTCCTAATAAAGTTATGCGTATTCTATTCTGGAGCAGGACGGGTTTTCATGAAGATTCACAAAGAGCTGACGTATTTCAATTTTGAAGATACAATCCCCAATAATGTGATTGTGGATGGAGTCTTTATTGATTTTCTGGCTTTAATCTCCATTGTTTTATATATTATCTCCTGGCCAAGCCCTTCTGAAATTTTCTTATGAACTCCAACTTAATAGTCTTTGTTTGCAAATAATGTGGTTGTGGAGTGGGATAATGTTGGTTTCACACAATTCCAGTTTGTGTGAAATGTGCTTGTCTGACTCAGTTTATCCTCCACGAGAGCGTTTACCAAATTATATCACCATTGCATAATGTTCTTGTTTTGCTGGTAGATACAGATCAGAGGTACCAGAAGAAATGCTGCATGCAACCCCTAGCACACAACCAGTCTGCAGTCACTGCAATGTGTTCTACTACAACAACATTTTATCCCTGACATTAGAAACGTTTTAACACATGGGTTAAAAAACAATACCACCAAACCTATTACATGATAGTTACCAGTAATAACATTGTGAAATATGCTTTAACATTTTAAAGCTATTCTACAGTTTCAAATCTGACGTTATGGTCAGTCTTGTGTATTTTCATACACTTTTACAGTACTATTTTCTTTGATAAACCGCTCTGACAACATATGCAGTTTGATCAAATAAAATACTTCTCTCTATTGGAAAAATGAAACATTCCTGAAGCTATTTTTAGCATGTTTTTAAGGGAAAAAAGTACAGAAAAGAGTGACTCATTTTCCCATGTGAATTTTTGTGAAATGCTACTTGCTTACAGATCTCCTCACATCACAGAGCTACCATGTAGTATCGAGAACAACATGAAAGTCTTGCAACTGTTATACTGTAATTAGTCAACTGTACTTAAAAGACCACAAGTATTTGTATTTAAGGTTTAAGATCCATTTCACAGCAGTGATGAAAAAGGGGGTAATTTTCCAGTACAAAGTTGCAAGCCCTACTTACCTAACAGATGGGATAAAAAAAATCCATGAACTTTGCTTCTCCCTCCTCCCCATCTTTACATTGAAACTATGACAAAATAAATGGACTTGCTGAACACAAAAAAATGTTCAAAGTGTTTAATAATATTTTAGCATAAAAAAATAATTAAATTTCATCTGTATAATAAAGTTTTAGTTTAAAGTCTAAAGGTACTCCCTTTCTAGTGTTTTCAAGAATTAGAGATCCCTCTGTACAAATCATGGACATTTTTCCCTCCCAATAATAAAACCACTCTGATTACACAGCAGGCTCAGTCAAATAGCATGAGCTGTTCTTTAAATTTTTCTCTTGCCTAACTACGGAACAGACAGCGATGCAGCAGTCACCCTGTACCAGCTATGAAATCCTTGAACAACAATTATTTGTGTACATTAGACACACGTTACTTGCCACAACCTTCTAAATATGTGGTTAAGGAACACATTCCAGCATGCCAATTGTATCATTTTCTGCTCATCCCACCTCCCATCACAGTAAGTGCCTCTTAGTGTTAATAACATGTTGAAACATCTGCTGGGTAAAAACTTTAACATGATAAAAGGGTGCTGACAAACAGGACACAGTCCCTTCCCAGGGTTGTAAACTCTCCAGACACTAGCTCACGTTTGAGAACAAATGTGAAGCTGCATCACCACAATGAATGGCTGTGATCGTGCAATGAAAATGTTTTTGATCATTTCGATAACTATTTAGATCACTAGAAACCATAGTGACTTAACACCATATGGTTTTACACTAATCCTTATTAAGTCCATTGCAGTGCATTCCCTACTGTGAGTATGTTGGTTGAAAACCATTACAGTTTTCAGAAACTCACAGGTCTTTTGAAAAGTATGGAGGCTCTTAATGATTAGGGATGTAGGTATGTGGTCATTTTTCACAAATAGACTAGAGCATTAAACTGGGCTTTCTTTACTCATTGTCAGTTCTGTGCAACGTTTGTATAACACAATGACTAATTCATTGCAAAACCTTCGATGAACTCTGTAGTCCCTCACTTTGTGTTGAAACCAGGCAGCCACAGCATTAATATTTTGAATTTGATCAGCCTTCATGAGGTCATGCATGGACATTACAGTCAAATGTATTGTTTGATATTTTTTTTTCAATATAATTCGTCAACAAGTCTGTCTAATCCAGTGATCCACTGTATCAAAAGCAGCACTATGTTCCAGAAGAAACAGCATTTGAATCAGCACATCAGTTGACATTGTCTGTTCTACAATGTCCTTCCTTTTCTTTTTTATTAGGTTATAAATCACATTTTTGCAGCTACAATAATTTGCAAGTTTGTCAGGTTCCAAATTTTGCATGGCTCTAATTATTAGATATTAAAATCTGCACCTCATTAGAGAACGATCTACAGAATTCCCTAACATGGTCATATAATCCCATAGAGGAGAAAGCACCACTTCCATACAGTTGTTTTATAAACCATGCCTCTCTTTAAATTAAACGATTGCATCCCTGCAGTTATTTGATATTCAAACCATTTTGTTCTGTTTACTTGAATGAAACAGAATTACAGTTATGCATCTACCAGTAAACAAGCTTGTTTTGCAGAGTACAAAAACCAGTTCATGGATTTTCACCATGCTTAAAGGGATTAAAGAAATGTCTTTGATCACTATGTGATCAAACACTGTTTCTACAGTATCAAAACCAATTAATATCATTGCAAGCTGCATATTAATATTTTAGTGTCTCCACATGTAAAATGGTAAAACATTTTACACCAGGACATTCAGATCTTGGAATGTGAAAGAAAAAGACAAGCAGTATTTAAAAATCGAGGCATACTGTTCCCCACTAGGCTACAGGGCTAAATAAAACTCTACTGTATTTCTAAGACATGACCTTTTTTTATATTCATAATATGAGGATAGTATACCACATTATACTGTATATAAGCAACCTACCTGTACATCTTCAATATACTTTTATTCCTCTATATAGAACAGTTCTCCTCATACTGTACATATTAGATAAAACCAGTGGGCAATAAATTGCAAGACAGCAGGTTCAGTGCCACAATTTCTACTGCATGCCAAAATACATAATTTGGTCACTTGAAATGGAAAAAGAAAAATATAGAATGAGAAAACTATAAATTGCTGGTTACCGAGGCAAAACCCAAATGAAATAAGCACATGCGTACCTCTCTCAAAACACAAAATCTCAAGGATTGGTCTGTAACAGGTTTCTATCAGGCAGGTGAGAGAGATCCTTCAAATTACAATCTATATTCAGACAGTGAAGAAGATGAAGCTGTCAAGTCATATTATACTTAATTTTGAGTCTGAAAACCTTGTTCCCCATGCTGTCCCCATGTTTTCAGAGATCATTGACAAGAAGTCTTTGTGATTTGCTGTGCAACGATCACTGGGTAATTGGGAGCTGTAAGCATTTCATCTGTACTCTGAATAAGAAATATCAATCACAGAAGGAATATTTGTTACTCTGTTCAATGGGTTTATTGTTTAGCAGACAGCTTTCTGGGGGCAGCCTGGAATGGTTGTTCTCTTCACCCATTATCAGGGGACCAAGCATTCATGTTCTCAGAGCACACACTACTAGTCAGTCCAGCGAGAGGAAGAGATTTAAGCCAAGCTGCTGCAGTACAACCAGCTGTTAAAATGGGTATCGCCATTTAAAAGGGGTTAACCTGTGATGCACTAGTCTTCCATCTTGGGAGAGTCCTCTGTTCTCAGACCACCTCTCCATCTACCCATTTTCGAACCACTTTTATCCAATCCAGGGTTACAGGGAAGCCCATCCCAACAAGCAAAAGGAAAGCAAGATGAATTCCAGATGAGACGCCAGTCCGTTGAAGGGCACACGGTCAAACATACGTGCAAGGTGCTTAAGAAGCTATGTGAATGGTAAATAGGGTGAATGTCCCTATTTGGCCCCAGTCAAATTCCCAACTTTGCCTTTGAGTGAAGGTGCACCCACCCTCACACACTGGGTAAGGGATGTGATGCATGTTCTCCACCTTGAATATTCATTAAATATCTCCAATAATATTAAATATCTACATATTTAAATTCATTGAAATGCCAGCCCCCGAGCTTGCAGCTCAACTCATGTAAAAATGGACACCATTAGAAGAGTCTTAATAGTTTTGCAAAGGTCTGTATTTCACTGGAACATGTCTTAACAGTGCAGCATTTAAGAAGACACATTTAGAAACTATTGAATCATTAGGAAATCTCTCTCTGTACAGTACAGTGACACCACGATAATGCAATAATGAGTGTAATGAAGTGCTGAGTGCTCTTCAAACTGGAATGCCCTAACAAGCTCTTGCAGACCACTTCTGAATGTCACAGAAATACCATTAGAATATAAAACCTATTTGCAAACAGTCATACAGGTTATATTAACTTGGCTACATAAGATATTGACTTTAATGACTTGAATTTGCATCCCCAGAACTTGTGCAATTACAAACAAAAAAATGCACAAAAATGCTTCTAGTATATTACGATCACTGCCTCTTTTTGGATTTGTTCCAGCTGAACTTTTAAATGCAGAGTCTCTATTAACTCTATACTAAAATACAGACTTGTTATTTCTAACCTCTTTTGCCCAGTCAGTATTCAGCATCAGAAAAATCGTATTTTAGTCTAGTTTGACCTGGTCAGTCTTATTTGAACTTGTATAGGAAACGTATATTCTTCTACATTTGTGTATAAACAACTTTCCATAGACTTTTAAATATATTAAAAATGTTTCAGATGCTGTCAAACCATATGAGCCACCATTATTTTGCATGGGTTCAGCTGTTACAAATGAAACATTTCAGAAATCCAGAACTGTGTGCACAGTCAATACTCATTTCTAAAGACTACCTTCTTAAAGTAAGACATTTTCAAGTAGACACTTCAACAGATATTTCACTTATAGGGTTTGATCAGCCTCATAAATTAAGATAAATGGGAGGAATGAAATGCAAAACACAAAATGGTCTACAAGGACAGGACTGCAAAATACTATTATGAAAATGAGCATAATTACACATCAATTTCACAGCTCTTTGGTGGGTTTATCGGGTCCTAGTGCTTGTATTTGTTCAAAGTACAGTATAACTCTTTGTGTGAATCATTCACTATAATTAAAGTATTTCAAAACTGTTTTCAAAATTGTACATACTTACTCATGTTCCAGGATGAAAGAAAACAGGATGTACTTTCTATAACTTTTACAAAACAATATAACCAAAATAGCAACAAAGTTCTGAGACCGATGACATTAAATAAACCATATCGGACGAAAGTACAGTAAGTATTGATGCATTACTTCAGTAACAAAAATAAAATGTGCACACAATACCACTACACATGACTAAGTTCTTATCAGGACTTTAAATCTACTTCTACTACATAACCATTACAAAGTATGCACATGCCTAGTGATGATGATACAGTGGATAATTAAAATCCTGATTTGTGATTAAGCCCGATTCCCCTACTGCTTCACCCATCAGATTTGTTTTCACTTTTTTCAGCATTATTAAAAAAATGAAGCATCTGAATTAATGGATAGTTTCAGCTTGATGAAACATCACTTACAAACTGTCCTTAAACCAGAACAGTGTGACAGCGTAATCATATTCCTGATAAAACAAAACACAGAACCCTACTAAATCTAAAATCCATGAGCCACTGCCATTATTAATTAAACTCTCTGACTCGCTTATCTCCCACTAAACAGGAACACAATCATTCTCATTTCATTACAAAAGCTTGAAATACCCACACTGCTTATACAAGTGGATTAAAACACTGAAGCAAAAGAAGAAGCTTATGCGCTTGGGGGACCCAGCCTTTTGTATCACGGGGGCTGAAATGAATCAAAATATATCAGCAATGCTGTAATCTTGCACTCTGAAAATCATAGAGCTCGGGGAACAGAAAACTTTCATGTCTGAGTTTGTGGATCAAGGTTATATAAATGGCGTGAATAAGCAGGTTAGCTGAGCACTGCAAATGCCTGAATTCAGTCCAGAGCATTCATGGTATTCATTGATACTTTTGTACAGAAAACATCATTACAAATTGCCAAGCAAGTCCAGTCTTAAAGATGTCCACTGACAAATTAGAAAGCTTTCCTAATACTGATTATTATTACTGAATAATATGTCTCTCTTACTACTGCATGGCTACTGAGTGATAATTTGATTCTTGCCATTTCTTTTTTTTTTTTTGCATTTTCTTGTTTTTTCTCTTTTCCCTTAATAAAATAATTTAAGGATCAGAAAAATTCTAATCTTTTTTTTTTCATGGACACTGACATTTTACTGACTTGAAATGGACATAGTGAACAGGACTGATCCATAGGGGGTCTACGGTATCATTTTCTAAAAGCATACATGCATATATAGATATTAATACATTGCTTTTGGTGCTTAGAATCTATTTCAATAAGAAAACCTGCAAAGTAATATTCAAGAATCCTGTCATTGTTTTATTAAGGGATTAGCTGACAAAAAGACAGCTGTTATAATGTACACACAAAGCTTGTACTTATGTAGCCTTCCTTTACTTCTTTTCCAACCGCAAAATGAAACTGAAATCTAGAAATGTGGTTATATAAAACAAATGCCCATGTAAAATGGTAAATTTAAAAAAAAAGAAAAAATATTGCAGAAGACATTTTACAGACTCAAAAAAATACAGTGAGACACACCCTGGAGATGCATTTAGATGTGATCCCACTTAAACACATATTAAAGACACAAATTCAAAAATGAAACTACTTGTAAAAATCTGTCCATATTTAAATTCAATGAAAGCTGCGTTTTATATTCTTCTGTATTATTAATAATGTCTTGCTGACCCCTAGTGATGATACAAAATACTGAAAATGACTTCAAGGAAAAAGGTCTTGACTCAACGGGTAGTATACAGTGTCTAGCACACTCTAGTGGTACCAATGCAAACAAAAAAATATCAGAAACATAGGAGCAGCTCATCTCAATAACATTCACAAATTGCATGAGCAAGATGTAATTTTAAAACAGCATAAGAAAAAGAGAAGAAATTCAGAAGGAATTATTTTATTAAATTTTCTTCTGCTGTTATTCTGTTTTTAGATGCATACAAAATGGTAATGGTTTGTAAAGTACTAAAAGAAACACAATCAAGAACAAACACTTTCAATTAATTTATCTTCCTTACCATATTCTCCAAAGGTAAGCAATGTAAACTGTTTGTATTCCACCACCCTGGTGATAACTTTCACGGCGATCCAGATCAGAAGCATCCCCAGAGTGGCATCCAACAGGAAGTTCATGAGGTATCTAGAAGCAAACCACTATCTGTGAAATCTCTCAGTATGCAGGATACTGTTCATCTTAAACTTAGTCAAGCCTTAACCTTACTAAAGTCCTAACTTTAATTCTGGTTTATCAAGGAGTGTCAAACTCTTATAATTCTAAATGTCTCTAAATTAAAATTTGTTTGAAAACTCAAGTTCATTTACATTTAAAACATAGATACTTAATATAGGACTATATTGTGATACAACTCTTACAAGGAACATGGATCCTCTTCTGTGAAATTGGACAGGAACACATTGGCAAAGTGAATGAAGAGAGCTCCAATAGCTTGCTTAGATGTGTCATAAAACCTGGAAAGACAAAGAAAGTCATTTCAAGAGTGCAGGCTGATACTTAATTCTCTTAAAATGATATACATATATATTCAGACCACATGTCTACACTGTTTGTACCACTCCCTTTAATATATAGCCATAATTAGTGCAAGTTGCAACAAATTAAGAAAACAGTTGCCAGTTTTCAAAAATATGTCTAGAGAATGTATACTGAAAATATTGTTTATACATAACCACAGCTGAGTGGAATTACCTTTGCATATCAGTTACTAAATAGGAGTGTTAAATGAAGTAAATACCAAAAGTTTGCAATTCTGATGTTAATGTATGCATATTCAAAGAACTTCAGTACTCTAAAAACAATTATAGACCACCTCATGCAGTGAAAAACAGTAAAAACAAATTGGTGTCATTTCTGTTCATTTCCTATTTTGCCATCGCATTCTGATGTCATTCAGGTAGGCGAATTATTTAATAATGTAGCTTTTGATTTGAGTAAAGGCAGCCAAACAGAAACTCTTACCAAATTCTCCATGGTCGCCTCTCTTCTCTGGGTTCTCTGAACCTTTTTACTGCAAATAAAATGGAAGTGTTTAAAAATAAAAATTAGAAAAAAGAAGAAGCAAAGACTGCTGACCCATAGCTCAGATTTTACCAGTTCTAATGTGCGTGGTGTAGATAATTTAGTTGTTCCTTTTATTATTTAAGGAAAAGGAAAAAGACTGGTTTCATACTTTAAGGGCCAAACAACAATTAGCTTTTAAGTGTTCAGCAACCTCCAATTAAACTTTAGTCCAAAGAAGCATTAATGTCACTCAAAGGTTTTAAATTGTTTTTTGTACTGACAGTGTTCATTTCAAGGCAACCTCATTTCCAAATTCATGCTCTACAGATCATAAGTAATAATCTCAGAAAACTTTCTTTACATAAAATCTTCGGCTGTTGACAATTGTTCTTTATGAATTCTACTAGTACTTGGAACATTTAATAAACTTTTGCATTGTATTGAGGTGAATTCAAAGCTGGTCACATTCAAGTATCATAATTACAGCTGTAGCAGGTAATAGGATTAAAGACGAATGTATACTGTCTCATAAACATTGTGAAGACTATGTTGCAAAAGACTTCTTACTTTATAAGGCCTATTCACAAAAAGGGATTGTAAAGTAGCTTTTCAATTGAATTATTCAAAATACCTGTGCTGATCAATTGACCTAATGCATCACCAAAACCGCTACACATGAGCTTCATACAGGTAATTTTTTGGTGTTTTTTTTACAGATGGTCGTTTCTTCACATTTCTAAACAATACAGAAATATCAACATGTGCATGTCTTTAAATGAGGAAGAAACTATCTGAAAATGGAGAAAGCATTCTTATAATTCATATAATTGAAACTAGAATAATTCAAATATGATAGCATGTTTTTTTTTATGAGGAAGAAGCAGCAGAACTTGGCATAGCCCTGAGAACAATAACGTAATTGACACTGTGTCAGACGGATGTGACACTTTGAGCGCATTGACGTGCTCTGTTGGGCTGTGTTCTTTTTTGAAAGCCTTGTTTTTTATGTCTCATTTGACTGGAACTGGTTTATTTTCTGAAAATGCTTACAAAATGCAGTAGAAACATCATTCAATCTAGATATTATCTTGATACTACAGTATTATCTAAAATACTTAATGCTGGTGCTTCAGTACCATTTAGGTAAGAATACAGATACAATTAAAATTTATGTTAGCTATGCACTCATTAAGTTAATTGAAGTACAACATAGAAAACAGCTTAAAAAAAACTAAGTTCAGTCATCTCATCTTCTAAAATTTAGATGGGTGCTTCTGTTTCAAAGAACTGGCAAAAACAATGCCTCCTATTATAAAATGTTTTGAGTGACTCTAAAACAACCACTTAGTTAAATGATGACAAAATAGGATGGTGTAATTTGAAGACCCATGTGCACTGTGCCTAGACACAGTTGCTAACTATCACAGCATGTTCAGAATTTTTTTATAAGTTCTGCCAACTACTACTACTGTAGACTGAACAAGTGTTTATTATCTGAAGCAATGTCTTCTCAGATACAAAGAAAAAGAAACAAATCCAATGCATAATCTCTTTGAGCTCAGTGGTCAACAGCATTTTTCTACAACACTCAGGTGTTTTTACTACAGGCTTCTTATAAGCTCTTGGCAGGCATTATTATCTTGAATAGGGACTTTCAGAGAAGATATGCAAGATAAAACAAATGATCACTCCAAAAATATTAATTAACAAATTATCCATATTATTTTTTGACTGAATACATCCGACACCTTGAAATAGGTATCTTATGTTGCTAGTCCCTGGGGGGGGGATAATGTGGGCACCTTTTGACTGTATTTTAGAGTACATATGCTCACAATAATGAACATAACCTTACTCTTCAAACTGAAATCCTTTTTGGCAGTTGTGTGCTAAATTTTTGTTCTTTTGTCCTAGAAAGGTTCTAAGGACAGTGAAAGTTCTAACAAGGCTATTGATCCAATTTCTATCTCAGATCTGTATACAGGTCTCTACAAGATCAATATGTAAAGTATGTACATACGACAAAAGCAGCAGCCAGCCCTACGTGGTTGTACCTACAGTTAATTTCGTATGACACCCATTGGTCTACTTTCATAGCTTAATATATTAAAACATTGAAGCCACCCTGATGGCTATCTTCGCTGCAAAAGATCCAGTATTTAATCCATGATTAATGTAACTTAAAATCATTAGCTTCAATGCAAAGTCCAGGGTTCAAGACAGTACGCAATTGCAATCAAACAAATCAAGAAATCGATTATTTATCAACTAGAACATACCATCATTGAAACCAATCATCATCGGCAAAATCTATAAAATGTGATAAAAATAAGCCATTACAAAAGCAATGAATACTACTAAAATGAACATCTAATTACCTGTTTACTAAATTTCAAAGGAAGAAAATGCCAGAAGCAAAAACTGAACCAGTCATGAAAATTTAATTCAGTTAAATGATTACACTGGTAAACTATGTCTAATACTGTAGAGCGATATTACACCTGATTTTCTACAAATCCGCTCTTCGTATCTGACTAAAGGTTAGCAGCCAATGTTTCATCCAACTGCCCATTTTATGCATTACAGCTAATTCAGTATCAGAAAGTAATGCCTTAATAAAAGGCTGCAATAAATGCTTCAGCAATCACAAACTAGCTCAGGCAGATATTGATTTAATCATTAACAACACTGCTGGCCTGGCTTTGTAACCTTCTGAGGCAATGCTAGTTCAATATTTATCTTCTTCATAATAAGTAACTTTAAAAAGGTCACAATTCTGTTGATTCTCCTCTTAACTTTCCATTCTCCAAACATTAAAATTTCTTAATTCTCTTCTTGAGGCTTCAAGAACATCTTAGTCAGAAAATATATTTTGATAGAAAAGATAGAGATGCTATACACTTGGCATATTTTTTTAAAAGTCATCTGTAAATCCATCCATTTTCTAACCACTTTGTCCAATACAGGGCCATAGAGGAGCCAAAGCCCCTCCCAACAAGCAATGGGAGCAAGGAGGGGTACACCCCGGACAAAACATCAGTCCATTGCAGGGACACGCAGGGACACGCAGGGACACCAGGTCTAGTCTTCCCAAAAGCCAATTAACCTACTGTACCATTGTGTTGCTATCTGTGTGGAGTTTCTATGTTTCCCCCATGTTTGTGTATGTTTCCTCCATTTCCTTCCACAGTCCAGAGATATACTGGCAGGTTAACTGGCTTCTGGGAAAACTGGCCCTGGTGTGAGTGTGTGCTTGTTTGTATCTGTGTGTGTGCCCTGCAATGGACTGGCAAACAGTGTGTACCAGGGTGTTCCTCACCTTTTGTGGGACCCTGAACTAGATAAAGCAGTTAGAAAATGGGTGGACAGATAATACATCAAACTAACAAAACTATGTTAGGCATTGACAACAATATGACAGCATTTCTTAAAACAAATGTGCTACCACAAAGCAACAAGTCCAGTGTGCAGGAGCCACAGCATACAGAATGCATCCAAATGAATACAAACAGTACCCAGAATACAAATGAGTGTTCTAAACCTTGCAGACAAGAAAAACAGGATTTTGCATTGTGTTTCAAAATTGAGCTGTTACAGCTTCTTTTGTTAACAAGAGAAATCTTTAGGATTAATCTGCACAATTGCTATGTTACGTTGTTGTTTAGAACATTAGTGTTCTTCTAAAAGGAATGAGACAGCTGAAGAGAACCAAAATGGGAAATGATAGAGATGAAATCCGTAGACAATGGATGGCAACAGTGTAGAGAAATTCAGCTTGAAGAACAGAACTGATTCGTGTCAAGAGTAAATAAATCAAAGACTAAAAAGTAGTGACAAAAATGATTGATGTAATGAATCAATTAAGAAATATTCAAGGAGAAAACACTTTATGATTTATAAAATGATAAAAAAAGATCAGGATCCACTCAAAGAAAAGGAGTATAATGGATTGCGAGCTTGGAAACAAAAGCATATTAGAATAGCCAGGAGTGTGAAAGAAATGAATTATACTATGGAGGTCAAAACAAATAATATATATTTTTTTCAGAATTGCAAAGAGGAAGTACAGTACATGACAAAGTGTCATATCTTGGGGTAGGCAAAGAAAGTCCTATATTAAATATCATTAACGCGGACGAGCTAAAGGTATTCCATCTTATTCTACAAGATGAATCTCCAAAGCCTGATGGCATTATACCAACTGTATTTAAGAAATTATTCATGGGTTGCTAAAACTATTCCAATAGCTACTCAAGACAGAGATAATACCCACTGATTAAAAAAAATAATAATTCTCCATCCATGTAAGATAATGGAAGAAAACTATGTTCTAATTGCAGAATACAGCAATAAGATTCTATAGGTCAATCAATGTAGATTTAGAATGGGTAGATCTTGCTTAACTAACCTTTTACAGTTCTATGAACAAACAAACAGTGGAAGTGGACAGAAAAAGAGCATATGAAACTAGAATTTCAGTTTTTTTTATAAAGTAATATTCATTCTCAGGTGTACAAGCATTTCCTTGAATCTTTAATACCTTCAGTCGATGCCCTAACTTATGTTAAGGTTCCATTCTGTAAGCCTTTAAGTAACCCAATTTCCTCATGGAAAAAAATAATTTAAAAACTGATGATTAAACAACAAATACACCACATACACAAAAATAATGAATACAACTATCAGAATAATTTCTTAATGAATTTATGAATACTGTACATTACCCTACACTGTACCATTCAGCAATTAAAATAAAATATTATATTTAAAACATTACATGACTGCAAATGTTCTTAGTTTAAAAAATTGGAGAGGAAATCAAATTCTAAACTCATACACCTGTCCTCCTATGTATAATCTTTTCTACCTCCCCCCTCCACCCCAACTGCAGTAGTTCCCTGGTTCATTCATTGTAACTGAAGTTCTGATCTTTGGTCAATACTCTTATTTCCTCAGCCTATTAAGTTAATGCCAAAGTATTGGGTACACTATCCCTTTAAATTCATT